TCCAGAGTCAGCCATCTTTAAGTGCCACACTAGAACTGCCTTCCTATGCCAGAGTCACAAACTTCACAGTGTGCTCCTGTCATTCAACACCAATATAAAATACACCAAACAACAGCACTCACATACGTAGGCCTGGATAAAATAATCATGCTTTCTATAAAAGTTTTTTTCCCTCTCTTACATCCATAAAAATCTTACCATTTTAACCATTTTAATTGTTAATTAAATTACTAATTATTTATTAATTTCAATTACAATTCAGTGGCATTAAGTACATGTCAGGAACATGTTGTATAACCAAACCCTCAAAATCATTCAACTATAGAATTTTTTCACCTTCCCAAACTGAAACAATACACTCAGTAAACAATAACCCCCAATAAATGCCTTCCAGTGATACGCTGTTAATGGCAACATAAGATTTAGTACAAAGGATATACTAAAAAAATCAACAGTTATCACTGTGATTCAGATTCCCCATGCAAAATCAAACAAATTTTAAACTGATTATTTAAAGAAAACACATGTAACAATTAGTTGTGATTGTGGCTTTGGTTCTTATGATGTTAAACTGGTTAGTTTGATTGGGCTTTATACCATTATATCTGGTGGCTACTGGATTTAGAAAACCCAGGTTTTGCAAAAAACTCAGAACCAAAGCTGTTATCAGCTATCTCTTGATCCACATCTCCACAGATCTCAGTAGAGTGGAAGGCAAGTCATCCCAGGATACTTTAATCTACTTACCCTGAAACAGCCTTCATGTCAGCAGAGTGACTAGATTAGTGTTCTGCATGTATCAGAGGTGATAGGAGGCACAAGGAATAAAAAAGTGACCACAGGCAGTGTCTCAATTTCCTCATCTACACTTTAGGGATTGTAACAGAACTTACCTCATAAGTTGTTCTGTTAGAATGAATAAATTGCCAAGTTCTGAACCAGCCCATAACCTATAATCTAATTTGGTTTGACATAAGCCTTCTGGGGTTCTAAACAGAGGGAAAGTATCCACGCTCATAGTGTTACCTGATTATTATGACCTAACAAGTGATGTCATTAGAGAAAGAAGACTCAGAAACGAGGCCAACAAAGATCCAGAAAAGCAGTATAAAGTTAAATTTTTAAAGTTCTAACACTTTCAGATCCCAAAGATTAATATATCATGTTCTTCAGTTAAAGCTTTCCTATAAACATCTAATGATTCACCTCATATCTCAATGTTACTCCTTTAATATTTTTAAAGGTCACATTATATGAGGCTAAAGGCCACAAAATAGATCTTATTTCATCTTCAAAACAGTAATTGCAGAAGATATTTTGAACAAAATTATCAAGACTTAAATCTATATTCCATCCTCAAAATAGATCTGAAGCTCAATATCTAATCCTACCAAACGGGGACCAGAAGAAACACCAGTTAGCTAACTCATCACATCCACCATTTCTATTATTAGAGAAATAAAAGATTTCTATGGTGTTTCAAATCAGAGAAAATTAAAACAGGAAATCATAGAGATAGTTTCTTTCTTTCTTAGTTAATTCTGTTTCCCAAAATGTCACAGATATTAAAACATACTTCAGGAAAACATAATATTATTAGAAAAGTGCTTCTTTGTGGACTCAGTAATGATTTGCAATCTCCTTAAGCAGTAAATCCACTTTCATTGCTTCCTTTATCCTAACTTCCTCCAAAGGGACCTAAACCAAAAGGCATATAATAAAGACCTTAGTAGGGTGACCAGTCTTCTTAAGATTGGACCTCTGCCTTAGTTAATCCTGGCCTCAGAAATCAGAATGACATTTTAAAGAAAAAGGTGAAATAGAGTC